ACACACACACACACACACACAGACACACACACAGGTGAGTAATGACAGCATATATTATTGATGAAAACACACCTGATCTTTGTTACAGCATGCAGGTGTTGACCTGTGATGACATCAGGTCCGACCGTCTCCTGCAGGTGAACCAGATCTGCAGCAGCACAGCTGGAACACTGCAGAGGATCGTGATGCTAATTTTGGACAATTAATTCAGATTTTTTTTTGTACTTCAGAAGCAGCCGACTGTCTGTTTCAGCACAAGCAGACCAAAAAGGCATCAAAGCCGAGACACAGCTGTGATTTCATATGTGCTACTGATAATGGTACCGTAGTCTACTTCAGTCGGTGTAAAAAAATAAAACAAAGGTAGCAAAAGCTGCATTTAGTTGTATTTCTTATTGCTGAATCAGATGACTGTGTGTAATGTGACGGTTTCTCATTGACATCCTTCAGATTTATCCTCCTTCTCTGCAGCTTTTCAGCCTGATTTCAGTTCTGTGGCCTCCAAAGCTTGTGTGTGATGGATGTCGTCTCTCCTCCATTAGAAACTGGCAGCTGTCTCCTCTGAAACAGCCTCCGTCCCACCACCCAGCACCTCACACTGGTTCCCTCTTGTGTCCGTTTTGTGTAATTACCCAAATAATGACACTGAGCTGTGGATTATAAATGTCGCTCGCTAAACGTTGGGCCTGTTTGGGGATGCTAGAGGGGTCCGTCTCCACCTGAACCTGAAACGCTTTGCAGGATTTGTGCAGAGTTAAGCGAAAGAAGAAAATCCACAGAAGAAAATAAAAGAAGAGGCAACAGTAGGAAACCTGCAGAGCTTTAGGAGAGCAGAAAGCGTCTCTCTGTTCTAGCAAGTTAAATATTCTAGATGAACCTGCTGGGATACATTTAGGAAGTAAAAACAAGACATCAGTATTAATTAGTGATGCACGATATTAATATTTGTGGCCGATATTAAGATTTCTGATATCACTGATAACCGATATCACCGATGTCGACATTCAATTTTTGTTCACGCCAAAAAAATGAGTATAAGTAAGCTCTGTGAGAAAACTATTCAGAAGAAGCCCAAATTAGACCACATAGTCTTCTTTAGTACAAAACAAAATATTTAAAAGTTCAAGTCCAGGAACATTTAAGTAAAGGTGTCTGTGAAATAGCAGCGATATCAAACGTAGAGATGAAGGCGCTGATGTTAGACAATCGTCGGCTAAATTTGTTCATCGGACTGATACTGATATAGCAGAAAAAACACTGATATCGGCCGATACCGATGTGATCGTCGATATATCGTGCATCCCTAGTGTTAATAAATAAAACCTTTCAAAACGGATACAGCAAAGTCTCACGATACTCCGATGTGTACAAGTGCACTATTTACTGATGTGTAAAATTCACCTCTACGCAATATGCAAAAAATAGATTCTCTTCATTATCCATCCATCATCTCGACACCTTAATCCTCACCAGGGTCATGGGGGGC